TCAGCCAGAGCGCCCCGACCTTGCAGGATCCTGCAGGGCCAGGGTCGCATTGACCCGGGCTTGGGCGCAGGATCCTGCAGGATCTTGCAGGATCCTTCGCATTGACCCGGGTTTGGGTGCAGGATTTTGCAGGACTCTGCAAGGCCTGACTGACCCGGGTCTGGATTGACCTGGGTCAGCAGGTCCCCGAAAAAAAAAAAACAATGGGCACCGGACAGGGGGGATCAACAATAATTATTCTTCAGAAATGAGAGAACAACAACAACAACAACAACAACAACAACAACAACAATCATTTTACCCGAACGCGTGGTGTTCTCCCCAGTGCCAGGGTTTTCATACGACACCAGGCAATACCCCCACTTCGTGGGGGGGCATTACAAGCTCTACCAAATATCCAAACGACTCTTCGCGACCACCCAAACCCAGCTTCCCGCCCTATGACGTTGGGACACTTCACTTCGTGGCGTGCGGACGACCGTGGCTACTACACTGGCGTGGGGTACACACCCACAGAACTTGGTCACTTATTCGGGGCGCGCATGTGCCCAGCATGGTGCAATTGTGCCATGCTGGGCACATGCGCGGATGGTATTATTTGACAGGGATGATGGCCCTGGCAGGTGCGCAACCGTTGTCGCAGAAGTTCGAAAAAGTTGCTCGCAAAAGCCCGTTTGACAGAAATGTTTAAAAAGTGTTGGGTTTCCTACGAATCCGCAAGAGCGCGCGGGATGAGATTTTGACATTTTTTTGTTGAAAAACCATTGGTTTTTTGATGTTTTTATGTTAAAATCGCTCCGAACACTAAGCTTTTGGAAGGATTTCGTCTTGCGCGCGCGAATGTCCACTTTACCTTATTTTTTGCAAGGGATTCTTGAAATTTGATTATATTAGAACAAGAAATGTCATTTTATAGTGTTTTTTGCAAGGGAAAACGGATTACAACAAAACAACCGGATCTGGACCCCATCCACTTTTCTGAAGCTTTCGCGAAAAAATGATGAAAATGTAGCTGCGGCCTAGGCGCGGCGGGGGGGCCGTGCACCAGGGGCCCCAACAATAATTATTCTTTAGAATTAATAATGTTCAACAACGGCTCCCGCGTGATACTTCCTCACAATGTATTCCCAAATCGCGCTCTCGCGCGGGACTTCCCCACAATTCATTCAGGAATCGCGCTCTCGCGTGGGACGTCCTCGCAATTGATTGAGACGCCGCGCCCTCGACATTCAGAAGTCACGCTCTCGCTATGGATCTCCTCACGATTGATTTGGGAATCGAGCTGTTGCTCGAGACTTCCTCACGATTCATGCAGGACGCACGCTTGAGCAACCCGCCTGCTCGAGCTGGCCGCCTGGGCCCTCCTTCCCGACCCGCCTGGTAGGGTCTACCCGCCCGATCTGCCCGTCTGGTTCTGCCACGTGTTTTCTGCTCCTAGCCCGTGCTCCATCCTCCTCCCTCCCCACTGTCCTTCCTTACATCCGTCCTCTCTTCCCCTGCTTCAGGAGCTGCGCGAAATACACGATGCAGGTAAGAAAGATATATCCCTAAAGGGATACGGTCGAGGACGAAGAGGGCGGGTATCGAGGGTTCGGGATAATGTGTTGAATGGCACGCGAGCAGATAAGAGCGAACATATTTAAAATGTTTGTTGCTGATGGTGGTGTTGTTGGTGTTGATGGTGTTGTTGCTGTTATTGTTGCTGTTGCTGTTGTTATTGTTGGTGGTGGTTGCTGGTTGTTGTTATTAATAGTTTTGCTGTTGCTTTTGCTGTTGTGTTTGTTGCTTCTGCTGTTGTTGTTGCAATTGCTGTTGTTCATGTTGTTGTAGGTTGGGACCCAAAAGCGCATTATGAGGCGCAATGCTTTCTTGTTTAAACCATGTGCGAGCCCCGTGATGAGCACTTCAATTGAAAACCAAGATGGGCACCGAAGAGGGGAATTACAATGAATAGCGCTGCGAAGTTGGAATTCAAGAGCAAACAACACCAAACACAGAATCCCAACTCAGCGACTCAACCAGGGACGATGAATGACCCTTCGGGCCCCTTCACTCTGATCATGCTTATTCAATCTGGCCGGAGTCGGTCTCATGCCCACTGAATCGGGCTTAGCCTTGATCGTTCCCACGAAGACTTCCGAGGAGCTTCCCCCGACCTCCTAAAGTGTCCAGTGCCTCCTTGAGTCCGGGGACGTCGGCCCACGAGGCGGTATGATAATCCATCCTCGGATGTCCGCCATCCCCTCCCGCGCGCTCCGCGTCTTCGAGAGAGCCAGGGAGGAATGAGAGAGAGTGGGGGGAGGAGGAGGAGTAGGAGGAGGAGGAGGAAGAGGAGGAGGAGGAGGAGGATGAAAAGGAGGAAAAGAAGGAAAAGGAGGAGGAGCAGCAGGAGCAGCAGGAGCAGGAGCAGGAGCAGAAGCAGGAGCAGAAGCAGGAGCAGGAGCAGGAGCAGACGGAGGAGGAGGAGGAGAAGAAGAGGAGTTGGGGACGAGAAGGAGCAGGATAAAGGAGGGCCGGGGAATGGAGGGGCAAGAAGAACAGAGGCGGAGGAGGAGTAAAAAACAGATCATGTCCTCACTCGGTGGAGCCCATCAACAGCCTTTTAGGCCTTCAACGTTGCAGCGCCTTTGAGGGTGAATTCAAAGTCCGCCCTGGTGTATTATTGGTCGGAGTTCCCTTTCACATCGTGCACCATATCTCGTGATGTGCGACCTGGCCTACGCACCCCCGTTTAACCCGCTTAACGCTCCAACCCCCCAAGGCCTTCCCCAGGATCAGTTCTTCATCTCGAGTCGTTTCTTGAAGTACCTTGGGCCCGTGTAGGGCCCCGAAACGGCGAAAGTCTTTCAGGACGCTGTTCCTCTAAGAGCATCCCTCGGGACCAGTTCTTCATCCTAAGTAGTTTCCTGACGGCCTTGGGGCCTGTGGAGGGCCCCGGAAGCGGCGAACTGCTTCCAGGACGCTTTTGCTCCAGGACGCCCTGCTCCTCCTCCTCCTCCTCCTCCTCCCCTCCTCCCCTCCTCCTCCTCCCTTTGTCGGTTCGGGGCTCGAATTGGACTTGCCCCAGTGTGCGCGTTCTCACCAGACTTTCGATGGAGCGTCCAGCCGCGGCGCCGCGAGAGGCTTCCTGGATGCTCGAACAGAAAGAAATGGTGACCACGAATGCGCCTCGGCGGGGCCGTCCATTGCCAGAGAAAAGTATGCCTCAAGCAGCTCCCCTTTCAGAGCCTGAATCCGACGATTCCCTCTCGCCGTGCTCTATCTCTATCTCTCTCCCTCTCTCTCTGTCTCTGCCTCCCTCTCTATCTATCTCCCTATCTCCTTCTTTCCCTCTCTCCGGGGGTGAGCGGAGGGCAGTCCGCGGCACTATTTTTGACGTTCTTGAGGCCCCGCGAGGGCCCCCAGAGGCAAAACATGAAGACAAACATCCCGTCCTGATTTTTCCACGACGCCACCATGTCTCGGTCTCCCTCCCTCACTCCAGGATCGGCGGCGAGCGAATAGGGGAAGTGAGGAGGCGAAGGTCCTATCAGAAGGCGGCGGGGCTTCTCAGAAGCCCTCTGGCTTTCTGAGCAGTTTTTGCGTCTTCGGGGAGGGCTTTGAAGACTTCATGGACGGCTGGGGAACTTCCGAGCTTTCTGAGAAGCCACGCCCCTTCTCACTTCCCCCCCGGCTCGCCGCCGAAAGGAGGCCACGCCCGACGTTGCCTCCCCACCGCCCGCCTCCCGCGCCGACGCGCGGGCACGCGGCGCGAGGCTGCCGCCGCGCGGCGCGCGCGGGCGCGCACGCGCGGGCGCGGGCGCGCGGGCGCGGGCGCGCGAGTGTGCGGCTGCTGGCCCCTCGGCGGGCGCCAGTTTGGCTTCGGCACCGCTCGGAGGTGTCCACGTTGTTCGGCGAGGTCGGCGCCAGAGAGTTCTGCCAGACCATCTTCGAGCATCTACGCGTGAGAGTGACCTTCCGCTGGAGTGACCTTTTTTGGTGCGGGCTCACGGGGTCCTCCTAGCACTGGCCTGCGCGTTGGGATTGGAGGCTCCCGCTGCCCCCCAAGGCCGCGCCCCAAGGGCCACTCTTGCCTAGGGTTACTCCTGCGTGTAGCCGATTGGAGCATCTTGGATTTCGGTAGCAAGTCGTGGGAATGTTGTATACTCTCGCAAGTGCGTCCTTAGAGTGAGCTAGCGTCGATCAGCATCTGGCAATCGATTAGATAGCGCCGAATTAGCGTCGCCTGGCGTCGATTTCGCATCGACTAGCATCCATTCGCAAGAGCCAGCAAGATGGTATGGGAGGCTCCCATGAGTTGCCACATAGTTGGGTCATCTTGAGAAACGAGACACACACGAAACCCGACAATGCACGGGACATGGGCGTCCGAGCGATGCACGCTAGACCTGCGCAGACCTTGGCCGAGCACACCTTGGGCCCAGGATCGGCACAGACGCTTTCCTCGAGCGGCCAGCAACAGGGGGGGCCCTCGGCAGGGCGCGGCTTTCGGGGGGCCCTGAAAGCGACAGGGCAGTTTTGGTGACCGTTTTGGCTGTTCATGTGCTTGGGCCGTTTCTGGCGCCGCTTGCGTTGGCGTTTCGGGCGCCGTGGTTGCCTTTTTCGTCTCCCCCGGCGGGGGCCTCTGGTCCAGATCACCGCTTGTCCACCCGACCCGAAGCGTCTCCGAATCGGTTCGGAACGTCCTTTTGGAACTCCGGTTTGCCAAGGCCGTTGCGGTGATCTGTTAGCCATTCGGTGACTCGTTGTCTTTTCTCGTGATCCAGGGACCGTTTCTTCAGAACGGCTCAAAAAGGCAGAACGGCCCTGCGGTTGCCAGGGCACACGAAGCGCCCGCCCTGCACTTGCGCCGACCCGTCCGGATGTTTCCACGGCGCGAGCACGGTCCCTTGGCCCCCCCGCCGTTGACGAACCCCCGGCCCTGCCGACCGGTCCTGGGCCCGGGGTGGGCATGGCCAGGGCCGGTGCAGGCGCAAACAGTTGGCGCCGTCCGGTCCGCCATGGCGCGCGCGCGCGGGGAGGCCGAGGCCAGCGCCCCAGACGCCTCCTCCGCGCACCGCTCCTCTCGGCCTCCCGGATGGGGTCCGAGTGGATGTGGTCGGAGGATCTCGCCGCACCGCCGACGCATCGCCCATGCAACGGCGATACATTGGCGGTGCAACGGAGATGCGGCGCGATCCTCCGACCCCATCTGCTCGGACCCCATCCTGGAGGCCTCGATTTCCCCGAGGTCAGATTCGGGAATCGCGATTATTTTGTCCCTGCGAGTTTTTTCATGGCGTCCAGTCCGAAGACGCATTGCGACCGAATTTGGGGCCGAAAATGGTATCCAGACCGAAAACGTAGTGTGACCGAACTTGTCACCCAGATTGGAAGCTCTGGCTTCGTAGCAGACATTTCGGTCGCACTCTTGCGCGGTCGGAAACACGTCGGTCTCGCCCGTGCGTCGCGGTTCTGCTGCCCCCCCTGTTTTTCTGCTTCCCCTTTCCGCCCTCCCCATTCTGCTTCAAAAGACGATCCTGGGCGCCTCTCGTTGTAGTCTGGCGCTTTTGCGTCTCCAGTGGTCCGCCGTGCTCTGCTGGCGCCACTGGAGCCCACAGGCGGCCACTGGAGGCCACTGGCGGCCATTGGAGGAGCCACTGCGGCCACTCAGGTGATGCGAGAGGCTCCCAGGTGCGTCTGCTGAGCTCGCCTCCGCCGCTGCCAGGGATCGGCTGGACCCTTGCGTTCTGGCCATAGCTTTCTCCAGACCAGTGCGAGCTTGACAGCCACATCCCGCCGTGCAGGCTGGGATGCTCTGGAAACATGCCGTGGGATGTGGGGAACTATGAAGAACATGTCGTGCACGCGGGCGGCGCGCTTCTTCGCCTGGGTCTGTGGGCCCCGGGGCCCCACGCGATCGAGGAGTGCCGCGGAAGGTTGGGGTCTGCGCCGGTGGCGGACATGACTGGGCGTTGCGGTAGCAGTTTGGGCAGCGTGCCCCTTTCGACCTCGCTGGTGACCTAAATGGGTGAGTGAATCACAGGGTCCTAAAGGGGCCTTTCGGAGCTCCTTTGGGAGCCAGCAGGGTCCCGAAAGGAGCCCTCTCTTTAGGGCCCTTATCTTCACTCCCCGTCAAGGTCACCCTTTATTGCCGCCCGCCCGGTTCGAGCCCCGCAGCTTGGGAAAGGCAGGCACACCCTCACCTATATCCACAACTGCCCGGTTCGGGTGTCTCCCCGCGACGTCGGATCTCAGGGTCCTCCCGACTGCACCTGGGTAAGCGTGGCCATTCGCGGGAGTGACCTTCGCAGCGGAGCAACCACCATACAGATTCCGAAATGATTGCTAGGCCTGTTTGCGTGGCAAGTAGTTGCGGAAGCAGACAGCTGCAACCACCATCGCGCTGAACATCAAGCCCTTCATTCGGTCGCTCACAGAAAAGGGAAGAACATCGAGGATACGCTCCTACGAGGCCACTCGGACGAACCTATATCGAGGATGGACGCCCCTTTCGTATATCCCCGAGTTTGGCCTCAAACTGTTGGCCCATCTGAAAAATCGGCAAAGCAGGGGATTGGGGCCGCCATACCGAATCCCAGGACCCTCAGCTGTCCCGTGTGCACGGCGACCGCCGCAGGTCGCCGGCCTCAGCCGTCCCCGTGCGCACCGCGAGCCGCTCCCGTCCGCGTCCCCGTCCCCGTCTCAGGTCGCGGACCGTTGGCAGGCTCCCGGCTTGACGCGATGCCAACGTTAGAGATGGGACCATGGAGTCGGCAAGCTGTCCTGCCGCGGGACCGTCATCGCCCCCTCCTCCCCGGTGAGACGGAGCGCTGGCGCGAACGCCGTTGGAACCCTGAGATTCTCGCTCTGGGGGTGGATGGCCACATCGGGCCTCGGGGTCGCGGACCGCGAGCTCCCCGTGCGTCGGAGGTCGCGCAGTGGGGGGCGATACGTGGGGGGGGGGGGGCAGCGAGGGCTGCACAAAGGGGCCCTTGAGGGCCCGACAGGGGCACCTTTCCTTCCCCCCCCCCTCTACTTTTCGCCCCCCACTGATGGAGGAGGAGGAGGAGGAGGAGGAGGAGGAGGAGGAGGAGGAGGAGGAGGGAGGAGGAGGCGGGGGAGGAGGAGGAGGAGGAGGAGGAGGAGGAGGAGGAGGAGGAGGAGGAGGAGCAGCAGCAGGAGGAGCAGCAGGAGGAGCAGCAGGAGGGGAGGAGGAGGAGGAGGAGGACGACGACGACGAGGAGGAGGAGGAGGAGCAGCAGCAGGAGGAGGAGGAGGAGGACGAGGAGGAGGAGCGCACGAGAAGGGCTGGCGCGCCGCTCCTGCGTACCGCGAGCGTCTCAGGTCGCCGGCCTGAGCCACGGCGGCCTGGGCCGCCGGCCCTCGCCCCCCCGCGTCACAGAGGCGGAGGCTCGCCCGCCCTTGGCCCGCCCGCCGCCGCTCCCGCTCCGGGGACAGCGCCATCCCCGGGGTGCGCTTCGGGGCCCCTGGACGTAGGTCGGGCTTGTCCCTCTCTGCAGGGGGAGACTGCCAAAATAGCCCCCCCAAAAAATAGTCTGGGGACTACTGTCTCACTTTCTGACCTTTTTGGTGTACTGTTTGATATTTTTTGTTCCCCTCCGAAATTCCCCTGTATGGGGGACAGGCCCGACTCAACCCTGGATCCGCGGCGAGCGAAGGGGGGGGGGTGAGAAGGAGAAGGCCCTCTCAGAAGGCGGCGGGGCTTCCAGAAGCCCTCCAGCCTGCTCTGAGAAGTTGCCTGAGTCTTCACAGGGCCAGGGAACTTCCGAGCCTTCTGAGAAGGCCCGCCCCCTCTCACTTCTTCCCCGGGCTGGCCGCCGACTGGAGCCAGGGCGGAGATGGATCGACTACACGTAGGGTGGCACTTTGCTAGAGTGGCCTTTGGTGCGGGCCCACTTGGTTCCCCGATCGCTGCGTGTGCTGCGGTAGTAGCGGCTTGCGCGCTTAGGTTTTGCCCCTCCGCGCTAGATCAGGGAGGAGGGGTCAGAGGAGGAAAAGGTATCCATATCACTACCCCTCCTTCGTGTTCCCCCTTTTGGGGCCTCCTGGGAGGCCCTCGTCGCCACCGCTGGATTCGCTTCGAAGTCTTGGTCAGAACGCACCCCGGGAGAGGTTTGGGGAGTAGTGGTCTCGGTACCATGGGGCTTCCCCAAGGAGGGTGAAGCGTCGACGACGACGACGACGACGACGACGACGACGACGACGACGACGACGACGACGACGACGGCGTCGACGACCTTCGCGACGACGCCAGAGCCGTTGAGGGTCGCCGCTCCCGCTCAGGGCGCGTCTTGCCCCAGGGGCGCTTCGGGCCCCTGGAGTTTACGTTGCATTTTCAGGGGGCGCGCCCTGTCCTTTGAGTGGCGGCCTTTCCTTGTATTGGACGTGTGCTCTATGCGGACTCGGCGCGGATTCTGAGTGGGCTCGACCGTGATTTGACGCAGATTTGAAATGGATTCGGCATGCACTCGGCGCGGACATCGGCGCGATGGGACAGATAAGGTCCCGCGAATATGCAATTGAATGGAGCCAGGGCATTGCTCCGAGGACAGCAAGTAAGTTGAGACAACAGTATTTGGGCCCCAGGGCGCTTCGGGGCCCCTGGAGGCAGGGCGCTGTACAGCCGTACAGCAGGATTTTTGTTGCCGAGGACAGAAACTGGTCAGGCCTCTTGGGCGGCGCACGGACAGCCGCCCCAGGCAGTCCGGGCAGGTCGCCGCAGGCCCCTGAGAAGCCCCGGCTGGCCTCTGCAGGCCCCCCGGGTAGCCCGGCGGCGGTCTCAACGCCTTGGCGCCGCCCCCGTCAGCGCCCCTGGTGCGCTCCGCACCCGGGGTTGGGCTGGTGTTTGGACTGTCCTGGGGGGTTGTCCTGTGCGCAGCCCGAAGATGCACCAGCAGTGCACAGCAGGATTTCCCGAGGGGAAGAAGCATGATGACCACGACTCGTGACCGAGATGTCACGGGATCTTGTCGACCGCGATGTTGGTCATGGCCCATGCCGGCCGATCCGCGAAGGGGGTCCTTGCAGTGTTGGTGGCCAAGACGGGTGGTGACCAAGATGGACACCGACGTTTCCGCGTTCAGTCTTGGTCATGGTCACCGTGTTCTTCTTCAAAGTTTGAAGATTCCAGCCGAAGAGGTTTGACAATTAAGAATGTGTCGACCGTACCAGCGTCACCCCAACATACAAGTACTATGTGTGCGTCGCCCCCCCGGCGTCGCGCGCGCCAAGAAATCTTCTAGCATGAGTTCTGCGGCGGGCGCTTTCTGGCCATACCGCTCGGAAAAAAATATACTACAAGATGGTCAGAGTGAAAGGGGCCGAACTGTCATTCACTGTCCTTGGGCGCGTGGCTGAAGTGAGGTTCTGCGGTGCGGATTGTTGTTGTTGTCGTTGTCGTTGTCGTTGTTGTTGTTGCTGCTGCTGCTGTTGCTTTTTATTGTTGCGTCCCCCCGCGACCCACCCGGGACCCATTTGCGACCCACCCCCGACCCACCGACCTACCCGTGACCCACCCACGACCCACCGCGACCAAGCATGCGACCCACCCCGCGACCCACCCACATTGCTTTAATGCAAAAAATCGGCGCCTGCGGCGGGCTCACTGCATAGTTTGTAAGAGTTAGGCGCCTGCGGCGGGCTTCTTCAGAGCCTCGCAGACTGCCGACGTCCTCGCCGCCCCCTCACTCTTATCCGCAGCTGTGGGGTGCTACGTAATATGAGGTGTTCGGGTCGGACGCACGCCTCCAAGGAGGGCACATAGTACTAGTATGTCCTTGTGCTTCCCACCGAAGGCTGCAGTTCTCCCCGGCGCGCCACTGTGTCCTTGTCGTCCAGAAGTCCCCATCCCGCTGGATCCGGAGCGCCTTGCTCGGCCCCAGGAGCCCAAAAGTTTTGAGAGCATCCGGACAGAGGTCTTGTCGACAATCGAAGGTTTAGGCTTGTGGGCGCTCTTCGTCCGCTTGGGGCCTCCGTGGGAGCCCCATCGTGGCCACGGCTCGATCCCCATCGAAATTCTGGTCAGAGCGCATCGCAGGAGATGTCGTGTGGTCGGAGGGCAGCCACCGATGATGATGATGATGATGATGATGCTGCTGCTGCTGCTGCTGCTGCTGATGATGATGATGATGATGATGATGATGATGATGATGATGATGATGATGATGATGACGACGACGACGACGACGACGACGACGACGACGACGACGACGACGACGGCTGCGACGACGACGACGACGACGACGACGACGACGACGACGACGACGACGACGACGACGACGACGACGACGACGGCGACGGCGGCGGCGGCGACGACGGCGGCGGGGGCGGCGGCGGCGGGGGCGGCGGCGGCGGCGGCGGCCACGACGACGACGACCATGACGACGACGACGACGACGACGACGACGACGACGACGACGACGACGACGACGACGACGACGACGACGACGGCAGCGGCGACGACGACGACGACGACGACGACGGCGACGACGACGAGCTCGGGGCAGGGCACGTCGGGAGGTCGTGTTGAGGCAGCGGCGACCCTCCCTGGCGCTCGAAGTCCTTCTGTGGGCCCTCCCTGGTGGCCTCCGCTCGCTGCGGCTAGGCCCTCCTCGGAGAACGGGCGAAGAGGCTCCCTGGTGTCTGGGACCCGAAGAAAAAACATAAGCATATACACTTTAGGCGATGCTCAAGAAAACCCAAGTTTTCGTCCAGAGTCTCGATTATTCTTGACTTTCCAATGTAAATCCCAAGATTTTGATAGAAGTTCGGGGTTTTATTCAAGCTCTGAGACGATGAATTTCTTGACCCATGATTTCTAAAGCATTTCGCAGGGTGTACTGTCGGAGCTCCGAGCTGATTTCTTGCATCGGCTCTGAGCCCCCCCCCCCCTGGCGGCGCCGCCCCCGGCGCGCCCCGCGCGCCAGGGAAGGGGGTCCAGCGCCGATCCCGGAAATCCGCGCGGACCGTCGAAGGTTTATTGTTGTTACAGTTTGCTTCTCTTCTGGGGATGCGCCGTTGTGGTCGTCGTCGCCGGGTACTCGATGAGATAGCGGCGACTTAGCGTCCACTAGCGTCGATCAGCGTCGATTTAAAAGAGCCAGCATGATGGTATGGGAGGCTCCCAGGAGTTGCCGCAGAAGGATGCGCCGTCGACGTCGTCGTCTGCGGCGGCGGCGGCGGCCGGCACCGCCCCGTCCGCCAAGAGGTGCGGCGCGAGCGGAGGCTCCGCGGCGCCGGCGGCGCCGCGGCGGAGGGCGTGCCGACTACGGCGCGCCCGCCCTCCTTAGAGCAGGGAGAGGTTCAGCCACGCGCAGAGGGGGGGGGAGGGGGGAGGGCTTCTTAGAAGCACCCCTGCTTCTCAGAAGGCGCGGGCCTTTTCTGTTGATGTAAGAAAGGGCGTGTTCTACCGCTGCTGGCGGAAAACCGGGGGGGGGCACTGCCGGTTCGAACCCCCCCCTTCCCCTCCGGAAAACCGGGGGTCATTGCCGGTTCGAACCCCTCCCCCCCCCACAAGTCCATCATAAAAAGGGGGGGTCACTACCGATTCGAACACCCCCCCCTCGAAAACCGGGGGGGATTACTGCCGGTTCGAACACCCCCCACCCCCCCTCGAAAACTTGGGGGGGGCAGACAGTTGTGGGGACGGTGGTGGTGGGGACAGTGGTGAGGGGACAGCGGGACAGTGGTGGGGACAGTGGGACAGTGGTGGGGACGGTAGTGGTGGGGACAATGGTGAAGGCGCTGGTGAGGACAGTGGTGGGACGGTAGCACGGTGGGGAAAGTGGTGGGGACAGTGGGGACAGTGGGGACAGTGGGACAGTGATGGGGACAGTGGGGACGCTGGGGCAGCACAGTGGGACAGCGGTGGGGACAGTGGGACAGTAGTGGGTACAGTGGGGACAGTGGGACAGTGGTGGGGACCGTGGGGAAAGTGGGGAGAGTGGGACCGTGGTGGGACAATGGTGGGGAGAGTGGGGACATTGACACACTGGTGGGGGCATTGGTGGGGACAGCGGGGACAATGGTGGGAACAGTGGGGAGAGTGGTACAGTGGTGGGGACAGTGGTGTGGGGACAGTGGGAATGTGGTGGAAACAGTGGGACAGTGGAGGGTACAGTGGTGGTGGGGACAGTGGTGAAGGCGGTGGCGTGGACGGCGGTGGGACAATGAGACAGAGGTACAGTGGGGACAGTGGTGGGGACAGTGGTGGGAACAGTGGGACAGTGGGACATCGGAGGAGACAGTGGGACAGCGGGGACAGTGGGGATAGTCAGGCAGTGGTTGCGGCCGTGGAGAAAGTGGGGAGAGTGGAACCGTGGTGGGAACAGTGGTGGGGACAGTGGGAACAGTGCGACAGTGGTGGGGGCACTGGTGGGGACATAAGGGACGGTGGTGGAACCAGTGCGGACACTGGTGGTGAGGACAGCGGTGCTGGGAACAGCAGTGGGGGATGTGGTGCGGACGGCGGTAGGGACCGGGAGTCGTTTGCTGGCGGTGGGGGGGGGGGTCGAACCTGTAGTGACCCCCCCCCCCCGGTTTTCGAAGGGGGGGGGGGGCGGTTCGAACCGGTAGTGACCCCCCCCGGCTTTCGAGGCGGAGGGGGGGGGATTCGAACCGGTAGTGACCCTCCCCGGTTTTCCGGAGGGGGGTGGTTCGAACCGGTAGTGACCCCCTCCAGTTTTCTGGAGGGGGGTGGGGGGGTTCGAACCGGTAGTGACCTTCCTCGGGTTTTCTGGGGGGGAAGGGGGGGGGGGGTTCGAACCCAGTAGTGACCCCCCTCGGTTTTCGAGGGGGAGGGGGGGGGTTCGAACCGGTAGTGACCCCCCAGGGTTTTCTGGAGGGGAGGGGGGGTGGTTGGAGGAAGGGGAGGGGTTTTGCCGAGGGAGGGGGGGGGGTCCAGCAGGGGGGGGGGGACCCCCGGGCTCCGGAGGAAGAGGGGGGGGAATTTTCCACAGTAAAGCGGCGGTGGATCACGCTCTCTCAGATGTAAGGTTCGCGCCTTCTAAGAAGCAGCCTCCTTCTAAGAAGCCTCCCCCCCTCCCCCATACCCCCCCTCTGCGCGCTGCCAACTTCAGGGGCAACGATGGGAGACAGGGGGGGATAGGTTCAGGGGGGAACGCATCGACCCCCAGTGGCTCATGGATCGCCGATACGGGCCTGACAGCCCAAGACCGTGCGGATCTGCCATCGGGGGCCTATCGCCGATTTATCAGCCATGTATCGCCGATTCCAGGTCGATGTTTCCCCCCCCCCTTCGCCACCTTCATACCCATACCTCTACTCCTACCTCGGTTCCGCCTTTTTCGGGCATCCTGGGACCCTGAGCTCCTGGCGCTGCAACTTTTTCGCACCTGCCGGTTTCGCCCAATTTCGGGGCCCGGGAGCCCCACATCGATCTGGCTCGAAGAAGTATGCAAAAAGACAGAGCTTGGGGCTACGTTCGTGATTGTTTTGGGATGTTGCATTTTTTGCAACGACGGACCTTAGAGGAGGCCTTCGTCGCCACCACTGGATTCGCCTCGAGATCCTGGTCAGAAAGCACCCCAGGAGTGGTCTGTGGAGCAGTGGTATCAGCACCGTTTTGTTTCCCCACTCCCGCGGCTACACGTAAGGGTAACCCTTCGCGGGAGTGACCTCTGTGTGGCGCTGGCCCATCAGGGTTCCCCGATGGCCGAAGTGCGCCGAGTGCGATGCGATAGTAGCCGCTTGCGCGCCTGGATTTGGCCCCAGGCGGCCCCGAGAAGCCGCGCACCAAAGCTCACTCTTGCACAGACTCACTCTTGTGCGCCGCCGACCCGCGCCGCCTTTGGCCGCGGCTGGGCTCAAGCTGCCCGGCCCGCAGTACGGCCGGGAACGCAGGCTCGGCGTGTCGCGCCGCCGTTTCTGGCCCACCGCGCTCCAGAGCGACACGCCATCCACGTCCCAGTCCCCGAGCGGCAAGGTCCCAAGTTTCTCCCGCCTTACCGCCCCGCGGAGCGCTTTATGTTTGCTGTGAGTCTGGGCTCAGAGAACAGCCTGCCAGCAGGTGCCCCACGGTAGTTTCTTACCTCCCGAAGGTTTTGGGCGGGCCTACAGGAGGTCTGGGGCACCTCAGGCCCCGCAAGAATTGACGCAGATTGTGCCCGAAGGTTCCCTCACGGCAGAGTTCCTTCTCGTGTGTGTCCACTGCATTGGGGACGTCAGGCAGGACAGGAGGGCAGAGATGAAATCGCTCCAGGGCGTGGCGCTATGAAGCATCCAGGACCTCCAGGTTTCGGTACATGTCCGCCTGGCCCTGACCTCGTCCTGGTATCCCTCTCGCTCCGATGTATGATTCGCCCTGGCCTCGCCAGGAGGAGGACCTGATTCGAACAAGAAAACTGCATAAACATGAACTGTCGGAGCGCCGCACGGATTTTTGGGGATCGGCACTGGGCCCCCCTTGGCGGCGCCTCCAGCGCCGCCCCTGGCGCGCTCCGCGCGCCAGGGTGGGAGCCCCAGCGCGGATCCAAGAGATCCGCGCTGACTTCCAACAGTTGTTGTTTATGCCATTTGTTGTGGGCGGACCGAAGGTTGATTGTAGTGGCCTTCGGCCAGTGCCGCCGATCCGGGTCGCTCGGTGTTATTCTCCAGACGCAGACATTATGGGCGCTCACTCAAACGCACAAACTTCTCGGGTTACCTTCGAAAGGGCGTAGGAATGCAGTTGGGTCAATAGAGCCATCTCGCAACAGTGGTTCTATCAACGGCGGGGTGCTTGCAGTGACCGTGGGGACGGGAAATAATAATGACATGAAAATTCCATACAGGATGCCGATCACTTTGGAAACTCACGATACGTCGTGCACGGAGTCGTGTTACGAAACATGTGGCCTGGACGATGTGGTGCGAGCGGTGGAGGCGAGCCTATCGGCGCAAGGACGCCCTCTTGGGGCGTTTTTTGAGCCATCTTAGGAGCCTGTCAGGGCGTCGTGGGGGCTTCTTGGGGGCTTTCGGAGGCCCTCTTGGAGGCTCTTGGGGCCTCCTGGGGGCCTCGTGGGCTGGAAGGCTAGATTTTTCCGCTTTTCGTCCCTCTTTTGGGTCCTCTTGGGGCCGTCTTGGGGGCCTGTTGGGCCGTCTTGGGCGGCTCTTGGGCCGCCTTGGGGCCCTCTTGGGCCGTCTTGGGACTGTCTGGGGGCCTCCTGGGCCGTCTTCGAGCGGTCTTGGGGGCCTCTTGGCCGTCTTGGAGCGTCGGAAAGCCGAAAAAAGCGACAACCCCAAAAACATTGAAAAAACCCATGGGAATCAACGATTTTTGCCTCTGGGGGCCATCGTGGGAGGCCTCTTGGAGGCCTCTTCAGACGTCGTGGAAGGCTCTTGGGCCGTCTTGGGGCCATCTTGGGCGTGTTCGGGCGATCCTTCGGGGTCTCGGGACTTTCGTAGACCGTCCTCAGAGACTTTTGCGGCCGCGGCCACCCTTCCAGCGCATCCTCGAGATTAGAGCCTTCTGTAAAAGCAGCGCCCCGCATCCGCCGGAAACTCGCACCCCCCCCCCCCCCCCACCCCCCCTTCCCTTCCCCCCTTCCCCGGCAGGGCCACCCCGGCAGCCCCCCCCCCCCCCAGAGGCGGAGGCCTCAGCCTCGCGGCGGTCGCTGAGACTCCCTGAAACTCCCACGCCGGATCGGCGGACACTGGGCCCCCCCCCCTTTTGGGGCGGGGCCCCTCCAGCGCCGCCCCTGGCGGCGCTCCGCGCCGCGCGCCAGGGTGGTGGGAGCGAGCTCCAGCGCGGCTCCAAGAGATCCGCGCTGGATAGCTCCAACAGCTGTTGCTGGTGCCATTTGTGGTGGGCGGGCCGAAGGTTGGTGTGTCTCTTGCCTAGCGGTGGGGCCAGCGGCCTCTGCTTCTCGGCCATGTTCCCGGGTTTCGGGGGGAGGGCACTCTACACGCCCCGAGCGCCTCCTGGAGCGACGGTTCCATGGCCCTCCGTACGAAGCCGTTGTGGCCGCTGAGGCTCCAATTCGCACGTGTCATAAAGGACATGAGGGTGCCCTGTTTTGTGCAGCACGCGCGGTGGTGGATTTGCGTGCAGTGGGAGGTGTATGTACAGCTTGTGTTCCAAGGGAACCATATCTGCCAGCGTGGACCCCACACTGTAGGTGCAAGCTATGTGGTGAAAGCTAAGTGGTGTAAAGTATGTGGTGCAAGGTTTGCGGCGCGGTGTATGTGGTGTAAGACAGGTGGTGCGGGACATATGGTGCAACCACTGCGCAGTAAGGTATGTGGTGAAAGCTGTTCTTGTGTGTGGCGCAATCGTTATACGGTGCATGCTATATGGTAGGCAGCACGAGGCGCCCACGATGCGCGTACGGTCGCTCACCAGGCGAATCTTTGGCACACCCACCCAGCGAGCGGGGTACCCAGGAGGCGTCGACGGCCGCCCACAGAGCGAAACCCCAGCGCGCCCATCCAAATACTTCAGAACGCAATATCAAAGCCTTCTTTTGCAAGCACTGCTTGGGGAAGCTGTTGTGCATGCCAAGGTTGCTGCATCTGGACACGGCGCTTGGCGCGGCGATGAGCACCTGTGGCATAAAGCGTGCGTGGTCACACGCACACGCACACACATGTTTGGTTGGCAGCGCTGGCGAAGTCGAACACAATTGCAGAGCAAAGCACGCGCGCACGCACGCACGCACGCACGCGCACGCACGCGCACACACACACACACACACACACAGACAGACACACACACACACACACACACACACACACACACACACACACACACACACACACACACACACGCACGCACGCACGCACGCACGCACGCACGCACGCACGCACGCACGCACGCACGCACGCACGCATGCACGCATGCACACTGTTCGTCGTCGCGGCCACGCGCGCGGCGGCGCAGCGGGGTCGGAGTCCTTTGGAAGGCGGGAGAGCGCTGCCAGTCCATCTCACGCAGCGGGGAGATGTCGGGTCCGCCCATACAGGGGACCACGCGGCATTATTTACGAGGGGGCAGTTTCGAGGGGGAGACGAAGCGGGAGGATCTGGTAGCAATTCTAGACGCTTCGTGTTACCCCACCAGCCCATCCAGACACGATGCCCAGAGGAGTTGCCCTGATCAGGGATGTGGAGGGGCATGCCGTGGAATAACGGGCTGGGTAAGACGTCATACCCCGAGGTAGAAGGAAACGCAGCATAGTTCAGCACGTATGGAAGTCCCGTTTGTATTTGAATTGTTCTAGCTTTCTTGGTGGGGGGCCTCCTAGCCTTCGGTTTGATGTTTTCGAAGCGTCTTGGGGCCTCCTTGGCGCCTCTTGGAATTTTCTTTGGGGCTGAGAGGGGTGTCTTGGGGCAAGGTTGGGCCTTCTCCGCAGCCCCCCTGGGCCGATGTGGACCAGTGTTGGAAGCCGTGGAGGGCGTTGGAAGAGTTCGATGATGCGTCGGGCCGCCGGGAGTGCCTTGGGAGAGCGGCGTGGGGGGGGTGCAGGTACCACCCTGCGTCGCGAAGGGAAGGGGACCCTCGAAGGACTTGCAGAAAGCACCTGTCATGCTGCCACGCCTGAACGTGTGAGGGGGCACGGTGGCGGGCGAACGGTCGGTCGGTCAGGGAGTACATGTAGGGTGTTTGTGTGTGTTGGTCGAGCGCGCTCCGCTCTTGCAATCGCAGGTCCTGTCGTTGCACCAGCCGCTGGCCTCGTTCCTTGCGCACGGGCTGCAGCGAATAGAAGGCCCCTCGCATGTGTGATGGTGTTTTGGGCAGATGGGTGGGGTCACGCGTTGGCACTATGTGCAACCATCTTCAGCTGCACCGATACATAGTCAGACATGGAGTAGAAATTAAGACATGTGGGTTAGACATGGAGTCCGCATCGGGTAGATCGGTAAGGTGGCGTCGACTCGCTGCACTTTCAGCACGGCTTCAAGACTATCGTACCACTCCCGTGGTGGTCTTATCGATATAGTTGCGCGTGCGCATGCGGACGTGCGAAGCATGCAGACGTTGATCGGCAGTGTTGGACACGGTCCACCCTGATGAAGCAACCAGGTACATGTACACGTGCATGTGGATCCAGATCTGTTCAGTGTGTGGGTTGGGTCGCGTGGTCTTGCGGTCGCCAAGGCTTTTGTTGCTTAGCTAGTATGTCCCAGTAGTCCCCAGAGCTGATCAGAGCGTGCCAGCAATGCGCTGCTTCCAACAGGTGCCGCCATCGGTAATCAGCTGCTGCTTTGGAGACAGGGAGAGGGAGAGAGGGGGAGTCATACGTACACATAAATACATCCTACATTCATACAGCATATATATATAGAAAAATGTCATCAGACATGCAACCTGACATACATACATATAGTCAAGCGGCCTCCGTGTGTTATGTCAACCTCTCCCTGGAAGCGTCGTTGTCTTGCATGTCCTACATCTCTTTACATAGCTGTTCTGGTTGTGTTCCAGGGGCTGCAGAAGAGGGCGGCCCCCTTGGGGCCGCCCTGCGGCGGCGCGGCAGCAGGATGCTCGGAGGAGGAACGGCCCCTGGCGGAGGGCCTGGCGGCTTGCTGGGGCTCGGCGTGGGAGGCGCGGGTTTCGCTGGCGGGCCGCCCTTCGTGCCCCCAGGAGTGGTGCCTGCTGCCCCACCCGCGCTGGGTGGGCCGCCGCGGCGGAGGCTTGCAGCGAAGGCGGCGAAATCTGGCATGGGCGGTGGCGGCATGGGCGGCGTGGGGAAGCCTGGGCCTGGCAAGGGAGGCATGGGCAAGGCCAAGGCGCCCGTGCTCCCCAAGGCCGCCCCAGCCGCAGGTGCAGGTGCTGGCAGCGCGATGGCGGCTCCGCCATTGGCCCCCCCCCTGCTGCCGCGAGAGCCGTTGGTGGTGGCCCGCCCCCCCCCCCCCCACTGGATCAGCCAGGTGTTGAGGGCGGCGCGCCGCTCGGCTGGCCAGGTGGAGCCGCTGGTGGTGGCCTCCCCCCACTGGCGCAGCCAGGTGTCGGGGGCGGCGCGCCGCTCGGGTGGCCAGGTGGATCCGCTGGTGGTGGCCTCCCCCACTGGCTCAGCCAGGTGTCGGGGCGGCGCGCCGCTCGGGTGGCCAGGTGCTGGCGGCCTCGCGGGAGGCCCCGCCGCCGTGCCGATCCGCGGTCCGCGGTGGCATGCCCGCGCCCTTGGCGGGCCTTGGGCTCGTCGGCCCATGATGGGTGGCGCTTGCGGCGGGCTGCTCGGCTTCGGAGGTCCTGGAGCAGCATGCGGCGGCCTGGCGATGGCTGGAGGGCCTGGGCTCTTCGGCCAATGGATCCACGGCCCCTCCTCGCCGATGGCGCTGCAGTCGCTGGGCGTGTACCCTGGGTGCGAGCTCGAGGTGGTGCTGCTTGACGCCGCTGGGGCCCCCATCGGCACAGGGACGTTCTCGGCGCGGGGCTGTTGGCCGAGTGACGGCTTCGGGATGTTCGTGGAGGTGTCCTTCGTGAAGTGCACGGCGGCTCGCCCTCGGCTTCAGCGGATTTGTTGCGCACAAGGGAGCTCGCGTCGTTGTGCCGTTGGCGAGTGCAGGTGTCTTAAGATCGCTCGACTGTCGTAATTGCGTTGCCCATCTCCAAGAGTGGATTGAGGCGCCACGTTGAAGAATCCGCGGCCATCAATGACGCAGGCGTCGCCGCCCGCTTTGTCGAGCACCTCACCCAGCACCTGCAGCCAGGAGATGTGATTATGCAGAGCAGTGTTCCGAACTTCAGAATTGTGTTCGGCTGTTTGTTGGACGGGCTCGGAGTCCGCCACTTCGGTTTTCGCCCATACTCCCTCCGCCGAGGGGGCGCTGCGCATTTCCATCGCGTCTCTCAGAATATGTCAGCAACGCTTCAGGTTGGCCGTTGAAGAGACACGCAGACGGCCAGAATATACATTGTTGAAGGTGTGCAAGTGTTGCTGCAACTTGTTTTTGATGCGAGCCAGCACCAACGGTTCGCAGTGCTGGCCCAGACCTTGTGGGTAGACATTAAGCAGCAGGGCCACCGAATATCCCTTGTATTAACCAGCTCACATGATTACACTTCGTGTGGCCATGCAGTGTTCTGGGGCAGAGACCCCCCCGCAGTGTTCGTTGAAGCAAATAGAGGGCGGGGGGGCCAGAAAGGGGCGCATGGAAAGCGCATGGTCCCCGCCCTGGGGGGGTGACGTTTTTGCTGCCCGTGGGCGCGGGCCCTGGGGCCTTGTAGGCGCGGAGCCGTGGCCCGCAGGCCGTGCCCCGAGGCGGCAGAGACGTCCTCTCCCTGGGCGTGGCCATGCCCCCATCGGGAGTCGAGGCGTTGCATGGCCCTCGTGGCCACGTGGCCCGAGGGGGCTTGGCTGGGCGCTGCCCCGGTGTGTTCGGCTGTCGGCGAGGCGTAGCTGCAGCGTGCCCCCTAGGGGTTCCGTGCCCCCCGTGCTCTCGGCGTGGCGCTGCTGTGTTTGTTGGTGGGCCCTCCGTGGCCCGTGGGGGTGACGGCCTTCGGCGTGGGGCGCAGCTGCAACTCGGCCGAGTGGCCTGACCTCTGTGTGGCGGCGCCCGCCTCTGGAGTCCCGTTGCGACTCCTCAAAAGACCCTGGTGTGGGAAAAAGACATGACGAGCGAGCAGGGGTTAGGGGGCATATATCTATATATGCACGTATTTCTAAATATGTGTATGTATACATGTGTTATAGATATACACGTGTAAACACTGTGTAAATCTAGAAGTCTTCAGCGGTTGACTCAAGGCTGCTTTGGTGCGCAAGCGTCGGCGGCGCTGACTTCACGGATGGCAGCGGTCACATGACGCGAGTTGTGCGACCGCGCGATTCGCAGCGTCCACGCTCGCATGTTTACCTTGTCACTGCCAGCCACAACCTGAGAAGCACTGTTCCTTACTCCCCTGGGGGCGCCCACCGTGCCCCTGATGGTGATGATGATGACGATGATGTTGATAATATTGATGATGACGATGATGATGATGATGATGATGATGATGATGATGGTGATGATGGTGATACTGATGTTGATGGCGATGATGATGATGGTGATGATATTAACGATAAGGACAATGATAATGATAATGATGACGACGACGACGTTGCTGATGATGATGTTGGTGATAGTGATGATGATGCTGTTGCTGATGCTGCTGATGTCGATGTTGATGTTGCTGCTGCTGCTACTGATGCTGGTGTTGTTGATGTGTTTGGTGACGATGCTGATACTGCTTATGCTGATGATGGCGATGTTGATGCTGCTGATGCTGCTGATGCTGATGATGATGATGATGATAATGATGATGATGACGATGATGATGCTGGCGATGATGGTGATGATGATGAGGCTGATGATGATGAGGCTGATGATGATGCTGATGCTGATGATGCTGATGATTATGATTATGATGATGATGATGATGATGATGATGATGATGATGATGATGATGATGATGATGATGATGATGATGATGATGATGATGATGATGATGATGATGATGATGATGATGATGATGATGATGATGATGATGATGATGATGATGATGATGATGATGATGATGATGATGATGATGATGATATGATGATGATGATGATGATGATGATGATGATGATGATGATGGTGGTGGTGGTGGTGATGGTGGTGGTGATGATAGTGACCGTCATCATCACCATAAGCATCAGCGTCAGCAGCATTATCATCGTCCACCTCGCGTGGGACAGCAACGGCGGGCGGATGGGCTTGCAGTCCCCGGGGCCCACGCCCTCGGGCGAAGGAGGGCCGGCCGATGCAACGGCGGCCTCTCTTGGCGTCTCTCGCCGCCGTCTGGGCCTCTTGGATTCTGGATCCGCCTCTGGAGGAGGAGGAGGAGGAGGAGGAGGAGGAGGAGGAGGAGGAGGAGTAGGAGGGAGAGGGGGGAGAGGGGGGAGAGGAGGAGGAGAAGAGGAGGAGGAGGAGAAGGAGAAGGAGGAGGAGGGAGGAGGAGGAGGAGTGTAGGAGGAGGAGGAGCATGTGGAAGAGCAGGATGAGGAGGATGAGACGGATCGGGGTGAGCCAGAGTTCGGGGAAGACAGGTGAGCCTTGTTTTTCTATGCTGTAACTGCCCGCATGTCTGCCCCGTTCAGTCCGCGTGTCTCACACCACTTCTGGTGCGCTCGCTCGCGGAGTCTGTCATCGTTGGGGTGTCCGATCCTTTGGAAATACGGGAACAAACAATGGCATGAACATGACAACTCAGAGGCAAGCGCGGATTCCTCGGATCGGCGCTGGGGCCCCAGGGGGTGTCCAGCGCCGGGCCTCCGAGTGTTTATGACTATGTCATTGTCTGTTCCCCCGAGAGAGGGGCCAACGACTCGCAATCGTCTGCTCGTCGCCGATCGGGGCCTGAGAGCCCACCGATTCCAGGAGGGCGTGGTGCGCTATCTTCGGCCTGTCGCCGATCCAGTCGGCGAGGCATCGCCGATTCAAGCTCGATGTCTCGCACACTGAGCTGCCCCCCCTCCTCCGATTGCTCCCCTCACGCCCCCCCCCCTTCGGTAGCAACACGGGAGCCCTGCATGTCCTCAGAATTCCGTCTTTGGACTTCACTCGCGCGCGCTTGGGTCTGGCAATCGATGATAAAACTCCAGTCTAGCGTCTACGCATCGTCGATTAGCACCGATGAGTGTCGATCAGGGTCGGCCAGCGTCTATTCGCAAGCGCCAGCACGATGGCATGGGAGGTTCCAGTGAGCTGCCGCAGAACTCGGCGGCTGAGGGGAAAGAACAGGAGGATGGGGAGTAGGAGGAGGAGGAGGAGGAGGAGAAGGAGGCAACGGAGGAGGACGAGGAGGAAACGGAGGTGGAGGAGGCTACCGTGAGTTGCCACCGAACGCCCCCCCCACCTTCCGCCCCTCCTGGAGGGCGGGGCTGGACCACCGAGTTCCGCGGGCCGCTGTGGATCCACGCGGGCTCCAGGCAGCCGGCCCCGGAGGACATAGCAAGGCCCCCCAGGGGGGGGGGTCGGGTGCCCGACACTGGCGGCGAGCCCAGGGGGGAAGTCACAGGCGGGGGGGTCCTCGTATTCTCAGACAGCTCGCTCCAGAGTCAGAGACGGCTTCTCAGAAGGCTTCGTGCTTCTGAGAAGCCCCGCCGCATTCCGAGAAGTCCTTTGCCCCCTCTCCCGGGCGCACCGCCACCGACAGTCTTACATGAAGATCGATCGCTCCAGCGCGTTCTGTTGCGTTGCATCCTCGTGGGGCCTAGTCTGTCCCTGAAATTGGTGTTTTGTTCTTGTGTCCGACGCACGCGGATTTGGCGTGGATTCAACGCGGATTCGACTCGAATTCGACGTGGATTCGACATGGGTTCGGTGCGCTCGACATGGATCCGACTCGGATTCGGTGCGGATAGCGGTGCGACTGGACGGCCTAAAATTTCCCTGGTGAGCCCTCAGACAGAAATGCCAGCGACCCCAGACGGTCTCGAGACCCCCAAGACGCCTCCAGGGGTCTCTGGCGACGCGCCATGCGTTTTAAACTGCCCTGGAGGCCTCCAAGACGCCCCAAGAGGCCTTTAAGATGCCGTCCAAGAGCGCCCCGAGACGGCAAAATCGCTTTCATTGGTTCCCTACCTAGGCTCTGCCTAGAAGGGTTCTTACTCTCTAGCTTAAAGGGGCCGGGCAGTGGAAAGCGCCCCGGGCGGTTCCCCCAGTCCCCGCCCCGCGGTTCCCCCCAGTCCCCTGGGAGTTTTAGCTTTAGCTTTAGCTTTAGTTTTAGCTTTAGCTTAGCTTTAGCTTAGTTTTAGCTTAGCTGTAGCTTAGCTTTAGCTTAGCGTTTCGCTTAGCTTTTCGCTTAGCGTTTAGCTTAGCTTTAGCTTAGCTTGAGCTTAGCTGTAGCTTAGCTTTAGCTTAGCTTTAGCTTGACTTTAACTTGTATTTAGCTTAGCTGTAGCTTAGCTTTAGCTTAGCTGTTGTTCAGCTTTAGCTTATATTTAGCTTAGCTTTAGCTTAGCTTTAGCTTAGCTTAGCTTAGCTTTAGCTTAGCTGTGGCTTAGTTTTAGCTTAGCTTTAGCTTAGCTTTAGCTTAGCTTTAGCTTAGCGTTACTGTTACTACTAATGCTGCTTTCCTAGGGGGTCCAACTCCTAGGTAGGGTCGCACTGGGATAATGTTTCCCTACCTAGGCTCTGCCTAGAAGGGTTCTTACTCTCTTTGCTTAAAGGGGCCGGGCAGTGGAACACGCCCCGGGCGGTTCCCCCAGTCCCCTGGGAGCGGTTCCCCCCCAGTCCCCTGGAAGTTTTAGCTTTAGCTTTAGCTTAGCTTTAGCTTAGCTTTAGCTTAGCTGTAGCTTAGCTTTAGCTTAGCGTTTCGCTGAGCTGTTCGCTTAGCGTTTAGCTTAGCTTTAGCTTAGCTTTAGCTTAGCTTGAGCTTAGCTGTAGCTTAGCTTTAGCTTAGCTTGAGCTTAGCTTGAGCTTAGCTTGAGCTTAGCTGTAGCTTAGCTGTAGCTTAGCTTTAGCTTAGCTGTTGCTCAGCTTTAGCTTAGCTTTAGCTTAGCTTTAGCTTAGCTTTAGCTTAGCTTTAGCTTAGCTGTGGCTTAGCTGTAGCTTAGCTTTAGCTTAGCTTTAGCTTTAGCTTAGCGTTACTGTTACTACTAATGCTGCTTTCCTAGGGGTTCCAACTCCTAGGTAGGGTCGCACTGGGATAATTCAATGTTTGTTTGCTTTCTCGCTGTTTCGTGATTCCGGCGTTAAAGCACCGCCCAAGAGTCTCTTGCGATAGATGTTTGACCGCACGCGCAGTGATGTGGCGCGAGGCAGGAGGCTGGATGTTTTCTGAGGGTGCGGCGGGCCTCTTAGAACCAAACAGGTTTTCTGGAAGCCGGGAGGGCTTCTAAGAAGGCCCCTTTCGTCTAAGAATCAGCCCGCCTTTTTAGCGGGCCACCCCCTCGCGCCACGCCCATGTGCGCGCCGCGGGATGGGGCCCCGAAGCAAAGGAGTCCTGACGGTGTCCGCCGTTTGGAGGGCTCGGCCTTCCCCGGGCCTCTTCCTTCATGCCGTTCGCGGCAGGCTCGACCGAGATCTGGAGGGAGTGCGCAGCGATCTCGGCTCAAGCCATTCCGGCTCGAGCTGCTCTGGCCGCAGCACGCGTACTCTACTCTACATTGTATTTCTTACCAGGAAGCTGGATCTACATGACGTGGCCGGCCTGGACGAGAGTCGGACACACATGCGGCCGCACGCCGTTCCAGCGCTCGGCCCTTGTGTGGCTAGGTGCCCTGGCCCTCCATTCGTGTATACGGCCCTTGGGCTCCACTGGTTCCGCGTGTGGATCTGGCCACCTCTGCTGCCAGCTTCCTGACCAGCTCTCGCCATCGGGCATGATGCAGCTGTCGGTCGCGTTGTCCGTGTGCCTGGTTGCGCTGGGCGCGGCGCTGCCAGCGGACCGCGCTGCGGCCCTCCTGCAGCGCGACAACGAGCTTGTCATCGGGGACGAGGAGTCGTAGCGGAAAGCTTGGCGACAACGAGACGTCTATTTGGTCGCAACTCATGGGGGCCTTGTTATGTCCTCGCAATTTCATGTTTAGAGTGCGCTGGCGTGATCCAGCGTCTGGTAATCGATGGGCAAACCCCGATGTAGCGTCGACTGGAGCCGATTCAGCCTCGACTAGCGCCGATTAGAGTCGACTGGCGTCGGTTAGCATCGATTCGCAAGAGCCACCAAGACGGCACAGGAGGCTCCCATGAGCTGCCACAGAACCCGTCTCTCGTTTAGCATATGTTGCGCCTCCTGGAGGGCCCTGGTCGCCGAGGCTGGACTCGCCTCGGAGCCCTGATCAGAAAGCAGCCCGGGGAGACGTCCGTGGAGCATTGTCACGTCAAGTCGCATGGTAAGGATGAGTATTTTTCCAGGGCTACCCTTGCATCATTGCCCCTTCGGGTTCAGCCTTGGCGACTTTTGCTGGCCAGCCCCGTTCGAAACGCCAACATGGCCCTCCAAGGCCCTTGCATCCTTACCGCGCATCCTTATACCTATACGACCACCCTTCGGGTGATAAGGAGGTTGTGGGGGGGGGAGAGGGGGGGGAATCAACAGCTGACTCAATCGATCTCACTATCGATCTCACTCAACGGGACACCACGGGACAACACGTGACATTTGTCGATCTCACTATCAAACACACTCAATACGGTACGTACTATACGTGGGGGTATCGGTATATGTTTGGTTCCTTCTAGAGGACGAGGATCTCTCGGGCTTCGACTTCTCGCTGGAGGATCTGAGGGGTCACGCCCTCTGCCGCCGACCCCCCAGTGGCCGAGCCACCGCTGGACCACGGTTGGGCCTCGGTGGGGGCTCACCGTGGCCTCGCTGGGCGATTTTTGCATGACCCTCGCCGGCCTCGCGGCCTCGAATGACCCAGGCGTGCGATGCCCTGATTTTTGTTCGGTACCATGCCCCCAGAAGTCCCGACCCATTCCCCAGGGCCGACGTGTCGTCCCGCATCTCATTTCTGTCACGGGCCTGGGGCCCGGCGAAGGCCGAAAATTGTGAAACATGGCCCGTCCTGTTTTTTTCCACGGCGCGAGCATGTTTGGGTAGGAGGCCGGTGGATATTATGGATGAAGATGACAAGCCCAACAAGAAGCACCACACCAAGTCGATCAATCGCGTGAAGCTCGAGACCTTGACCTCGACCCTCGACCAGGCCATCCCTCTCCTGGAGAGGTGGAGGGAACAAACCGGCACCCAGGCGGGTACATGCTATAGACGCGATCTCTACATTCGAGGGTGGTCCAAATAGGGTTCAACTTTAGGGAGTGGGGTGCGACTTGAGCACACAGAGTCACTGAACACGTGTGGTGGTTTCTGTTCTGGGGAGACGAGGATTCTATATACGACAGAGGCAGCAGAGCTAGGGACTGAAGCTTTGTATGCGAGGGTAAACGAGAGCCTGAACAACGTCCAGGACACGTCTGAAGCTTTTCCTGCGGACACGCATGGTAGTTTTGGTGCCACGTTGTACCATGTCGGCGTCGCGGCGTCGCAGCAGCACCCTCCCGCTGCTTTTTCTTAGCCCCACCGCTCCACGAGAGGTGTTTAAGCTACCCCGGAAGTCAGTTCCCCCGGACCCAGAATTCGTTCAGTATTCCCAGGAAGTTGTTCAGCCACGCCTGGACTTTCTGCAGTCCCCCTTGTTCTCCGCCCGAGAGAAGCTGTGCAGAAGGTTGTAGCCGATCCTGAACAAGGCTCGCAGACACTCCTCGGGACCAATCAGACACGTCTTCATGCGTCTATAGAGGGTGCGCCGGCCTGGCCTGCCCACCGAAAAAACGGCAGGGACTTCAAGGTGAAGACCCAGCAGCTGAAGGTGGCCCTGGCGAACTTCAGGTCCCATCAGAAGGCCATCGGGAAACCAACAATTTTATAACTAGAGCAACGCGGAGGTCCGCGCGGATTCCTCGGATCGGCGCTGGGACCCCCTGGCGGCGCCTCCAGCGCCGCCCCTGGCGCGTGGGGTCCGGCGCCGACCGAGAAGTCCACGCTGACCTCTTAGTTTTCATGTTTATCTTATTGGTTGTCCTGGGGACACCAAAAGGCACCGATACCGCTACTCCCCGGACCTCTCCCAAGGTGCGTTCTGACCAGGATCTCGAGGCGAATCCAGCGGTGGCGACGAGGGCCTCCGACGAAGCCCAAAAAGGGTGAAAACGAGGGAATGGGTACCGGTAAAGGTACCTGTTCTTCCTCCAACGTTGTACCAGTTTTTCATCCTGAGTCTTTTTTGACCGGCCTCGAGGCTTGGTAAGGCCCCCCAGGCCAAAAACAGCAAAGAACCACCCGTCGAGAGTTTTTCCTGACTCGAGGGGATCTTGGCCCCGCTGTCGTTGGCCTCCGATGTTCCCCCAGGACATGGACGTGGCGAAGAAGGAGGCGACCGCGGCCATGAAGGCCCTCCGCGCGGAGGCGGAGAGGCGCCGCAGGTCTGCCGCCGACCGCCGGCTGACCAAGGAGCGGGAGCGTAAGGCAAAGGAGGAGGCCGAGCGCACGGCGAAGGCTGCGGGCAAGATGTATATCCACATTCGGAGGAGGAAAAAGCAGCCATACCGCTACCCTTTCTTTCCTCGGTTTCACCTTTTGGGGCCACCTCGGAGGTCCTCGTCGCCACCGCTGGATTCGCTTCGAAAATTTAGTCAGAACGCACCCCAGAAGAGGTCAAGGGAATCGCGGTATCGGTATCGAATGGCCTTCGGCCCATTCCGCCGGTGTGCCCAGGGTGTGGGCGCGAAGCTTATAGGATGTGTTTTGCCTAGTGGATGTTCGTTGGGACTCGTGGGAGGCCTCCCTGGAGGCAGGCGGGACCCTCTTGGGGGCCGTTTTGGGGCCTCGTGGGCCCTTTTTGGGCCTCTTGGGGCCTCTTGGAGCCTCTTGGGGCCCTGTTGAGGGCCTCCTGGGCGCGTCTTGAGGCCTCCTGGGGGCTTCTTGGGGCGGAAGGCTTGGATTTTCGGTTCGTGTTTCCTCTCTTGGACCCCTTTGGAGCCGTCTTGGGGCCCTCTTCGGCCGTTTTGGGCACATCTTGGGCCGTCTTGCCCTCTTGGCCGTTTTGGGATCCTCTTGGAGACCTCTTGGGCTGTCTTGTTTCAGTCTTGGGGGCCTCTAGGGCCGTCTGGGCGCGTTGGGAAGCCGAAAAGGCGAGAACGCCAAAATCTGTCAAAACATGACTTGGGTAAATCATGGATTTGGGTCTCGTGGAGTTCTCTTGGGGGCTTCTTGGGGCCCTCTTGGCCTGTCTTGGGGCCCTCCTTGGAACCGAGAAGCAGATGCGGGAACACTTCCCGGAGCCCAGGGGGAGGGGGGACGCAGGAAGCCCCAAGAGATTTCGGAGTTGGGGGCCCGGGCCACTTACACCTTAGGCGATGCTTAAGAAAACTTAAGTTTTCGGCCAGAGTCTCGATTATTCTGAACGTTTCAATGTAAATCTTAAGATTTTAATAGAAGCGTTGGGTCTTTGTTCAAGTTCTGAGACTATGAATTTCTTAACCCATGATTTCTTAAGCATTTCGCAGGGTGTACAGACTCTTCAGGAGTAAGCTCGAGGCTTGGAGGATGTGGCAAAGGACCTGAGGATACGCCCACTCCGTGCCCAGAGGCACGGTGGCGGACCTTTTGATTTTCCCATACATCCAGTGCGTGTTGGATCGGAGTTTCTTGGAAGGGGCGCCGCAAGACCGAGGCGCACTGGATAGGGGCACAAATCGAGCCTCTAGGGGCTAGATTTTTACCAACATCCAGTGCGCCTCGGGTTTCTGGCGGAGAGAGCCAGGAACTCCAAGCTGCAGTGAATATGGGATATGGGCATAAGTCTTCCCCGCAAAGGCTGCGATGATCAAGAAGGCGCAGGCCCTCATGGGCGTGAAGGGCGGCGCGGAGGACTGGAAGAGGAGAAAAAACGGCATAAGCATGAACTTTGGACGGCCCCCGCGCGGAGTTCTCGGATCGACGCCAGAGCCCCTTGGCGGCGCCTCCGGCGCCGCCCCTGGCGCGCTCCGCGCGCCAGGGAGGGGGGTCCAGCGCAGATCCAAGAAATCCGCACGGACCGTCCAAAGGTAAGGTTGTTTACGCGGGTTTTTCTTTCTCTAAGGACGGCATTTTGGGCGACATGTCGCTGGGCCTCATGGTCGACGTGCTTATGGCCCTGCCAGAAGCGGTGGAGAATCCGATCTTCGTGAAGCGCCTGGCAAAGTCGAAGGACATCGTGGTGACAAACATCCAGGATTTCTTGAACATCACGCGCCGCAAGACCGCGAAGTTCGTGCTGGCGGCCAGCAGGGCGTCCGACGTGGAGCTCGCGTTCCTCCTGGCGCGCTACTTCCACGAGGCCTCCTTCCGCGTCAAGGCGATGCAGTCGGATGCGCAGAAGGTTGCCAGGCGCATGGCTCGTCGTCGTCGTTGGCCTCCTCCTCGGGCTTCCCGTGCAGGGGGGAAGTGGTTGGTGGGTGAGCGGGGCGTACATGCCAGAAGTCCGTGTTCCTGCCTCTGGCCGTTGAGCACCAGCACGCCGCTCCCTCGGACTCGGTCAGGCTTTTGTTCCCGCGTCGCACTGCTCGATCGTGGCGAGGCCTTCCCCCCTGCAAAGTTCGTGCGCCGTCCTCTCTTCGGATGGATCGGCGCGCCTCAGTCTGCGTCTGCTCCCCCGTGGACTCCCCCCGATCCTCCACTCGCGCGCCCGTCCGAGCAGTGCTGGCCCGAATGGGCAACGTAGTGATTGGCGGCCTATTAGTTTCTCGCTTCTGTGCTCTTGGCAGGCCGTCTACTTCCCTTTGTGAGCGCAACCCTTCTTCTTCTCCTCATCCTCCTCCAGGGATCTCAACGTCGTGATGCCGCCCAAGCTGAGGAGAAGCTTTCTGCCCATCATCAAGGGCCTGCGGGCAAATGCGGTCCGAAGAGGGAAGGGAGGGGTACGGTGGGCTCGTGTCGTGTTGACACGGCGGCGACTCGGGCGCGGGCGTTCATTGTTGAACGTCGCAGGCGGCGAGTAACCGGCCAACATGAACGATCTGGCGATCCAGAAACCGCCGATCATTCAAGGTTGAACGATCCACGGAGTCAGAAACCAACGCGCAGGTCGTCACGAGTTGAATCTGCCATAGGGAAGGGGGGATCGGAGAGTCGAGGGGGGCAGGGGAGGGGAGGAGACAGGGGAGGTCCCGCTGCGCGTGAATGCCACCAGTCTTGCGGGCGCCACCATCCAAACCGCTTGCTTGGAGATCTCTAGCCTCATGGGGAACATCAGCGACTATCGAAGACGCCTACGGCGAATCACCGCCGCCCCCTGCCTTTTTGGAAACGCCGATGTGGCCGAAAGTTGGACTAGAGCTTGGCCAAGCTATCGGACCATGAGTTCCCCGAGTCGGTTTGGAAAGCTTTCGGGGAACACATGGGAGAGAATGATTATGAACAGGAAGAGGAAGAGGAAGAAATAGAGTAGGAGGATGAGGGTTGTTAGGAGTCTCTTGGGGCACCCTTGGGGTCTGTTGGGGGCTTCTTGGGGGCCTCTTCGAGGCCTCTTGGAGGCATCTTGGGGGCCTCCTTGGGCCTCTTGGGGGCCTTTGGGGGCTTCCTGGGGGTCTCTTTGGCCGTCTTAGGGCGTTCCTGGTCCGTCTGACGCCGTCTGGAGCCGTCTTGGGGGCCTCTCTGGGCCGTCTTGGGGCCCTCTTGGGGCGCTTCAGGGCCGTCTTGGAGGCCATGTTGGGCGTCTTGGAGGCCTCTTGGGCCGTCTTGGGGCGCTCTTGGGGCCGTCTTGGGGGGCCCTTGGGCCGTCATAGGGCCTTCTTGGAGGCCTCTTGGGCGATCTTGGGGGCCTCTTGGGCCGTCGGAAGGCCGAAAAGAAGAAAACGCAAAAAACCTTCAAAAACCTAAGGAAAACCAATGATTTTGGCCTCTTCGGGCTCTCCTGGAGAACGTCTTGGAGGCCTCTTGGGCCATCTTGGAGGCATCTTGGGGCCATCTTGGCCGTCTTGGAGGGCATCTTGGGCCGTCTTGGAGGCATCTTGGAGCCATCTTACCCGTCTTGGAGGCCATCTTGGCCGTCTGGGAGGCATCTTGGAGGCCATCTTGGGCCATCTTGGCCGTCTTGGAGGCCATCTTGGGCCAAGTTGGGGCAACAAAGGCATTGACAGACGGATTTTGGGAAAATTACGGGTGGCCGGCGGGACGGGCCGAAGCCCACTGGGGAGTTCTTTTAGAAAAAGAACCAAAACCAAAACCTGAAACGTCCAGCACGCCGTGCACCCCTGCAAGCAGGGGGCGGCGGATCGAAGACGCCTACGGCGAATCACCGCCGCCCCCTGCCTTTTTGGAAGCGCCTATGTGGCCGAACGTTGAGGCCAGACCTGCCAAGCTATCGGACCACGTGTTCCCCGAATCGGTTTGGAAAGCCTTCGGGGAACACGTGGGCATCTTGAAGGTCATCTTGGCCGTCTTGGAGGCCTCTTGGGCAAGCTTTGGGCGATCTTTGGGGCTTTTTGGGCCGTCTCGGGCCAGCTTCGAGCCAACTTCGGCCATCTTGGTGGGTTCCTGGCACGTCTGAAGCCGTCGGAAGCCGTTTGGGGGGCCTCTATGGGCCGACTTGGGGCCCGCTTGGAATGCTCCAGGGCCGTCTTGGAGGCCATCTTGGGCGTCTGGGAGGCCATCTTGGGCGTGTTGGAGGCCTCTTGGGCCCTCTTGGGGCCCTCTAGGGGCCATCTTGGAGGCCACTTGGGCCATCATGGGGCTCTCTTGGGGGCCTCTTGGGCGATCTTGGGGGCTTCTTGGGCCGTCTCGAGCCGTCGGAGAGCCGAAAAGGCGCAAATGCCAGAATCCTTCAAAAACCAAGGAAAAATCAATGATTTTGGCCTCTTCGGACTCTCCTGGAGGACCTCTTGGAGGCCTCTTGGGCCGTCTGGGAGGCCTCTGGGGGGCCTCTTGGGCCGTCTTGGGCCGTCTTGGACTCTCTTGGGCCGTTTTGGAGGCCGTCTTGGACCATCTCGGGCGGACTTGGAGGCCATCTTGGGCCATCTTCGCGATTTTTTGAGGATGTCCCGAGCGAAACGGCCGTTTTTTGGAGGATTTTTTCCGGTCGTTGAGCACCTTCCGGGTGGCCGGCGGGTTCTGCCGGAGCCCACTGGGGAGTTCTTTTGGAAAAAGAACCAAAACCAAAACCTGACAGCTCATCCAGCACGCCGTGCACCCCTGCAAGCAGGGGGCGGCGGATCCAGCTGCCTGCGGCAGATCCCGCCACCGTGCCAGCCCAGCATTCAGGGTGCCGCTTGTTCGAAGGTGGGAGAGCAGTGGTTGTGGCGATGATGGTGATCAGTGATGAGGATGATGGGGATGATGGTGCTGGTGATGATGATGCTGGTGATGGTGATGATGATGATGCTGATGATGCTGATGATGATGATAATAAAGGTGGTGGTGGGACCGATTAAAAAAATGATGATGGTGATGCGGATGAAGATGCTGTTGATGATGATGATGATGATGATGATGATGATGATGATGATGATGATGATGATGATGATGATGGATATAATGATGTTGGTGATGACGACGATGATGTTGATGATGGTGGTGGTGATGGTGTTGATGCTTATGCTGATGAGCATGATGATTTTGTTTTTTAAAAGATGATCGGGATCATGATTGTGGTAGTGACGATGATGTTGTTGGTGCTGGTGGTGGTGACGATGATGAGCGTGACGATGGTGGTGATGATGCGGATATCGATGTTGAAGATAGTGTTGATGATTGTGATGGTGATGATGACCAAGATGAGGATGATGAGGATGATGCTGACGATGCTGATGGTGATAGTGATGATGGTGATTGTGATGGTGATGGTGATAGTGATGGTGATGATGATGATGATGATGATGATGATGATGATGATGATGATGATTATGATGACGATGATGCTGATGCTGATGATGAGGAATCGGGTGAGGATGAGGATGAGGATGGTGATGGTGGTGATAATGATGATGATGATGGTGGTGGTGGTGATGATGATGATGGTGGTGGTGGTGGTGGTGGTGAGGAGGAGGAGGAGGAGGAGGAGGAGCTGGAACAGGAGGATGAGGAAGAGGAAGGCCGTCGCGTGACACCTTCTGTCTTCGTTGCTTGAGGAGCTCTCATGAGACTCGCTTGGGCCGTCTTGGGCTGCCTTGGCCTCCTGTGAGGCAGTTTTGGCGGTACCTTCGGGCCCTCTTGGGCCGTCTTAGGGCCCACTTACGCAGTCTTGGGGCTCTCTCTCCGTCTAGGGGCCATCTTGGCCGTACGGTGGGCGTGTGGGGGTCATCGCGAGGCCGTCTCAGTCCGTCGAAAAGCCTTCTCAGGCCGTCTTGGGTCTCTCCGGAGGCCCTCGTTAGCCGCCTTGGGGCAGTTGCATCATTGGCTTCTGCGGGCCCTGTTGGAGGTCACCCTCCTGTGATCCTTGATGGCCCTCTTGGGAACATCTTGGGCAGTCTTGAGGCCGTCTTGGTCCGCCTTCGGGCCATCTTATGCCGTCTTTCAGGCATACTGGGTCATCTTTGTGTCCTTGGTTGCCTGCATGGGGGCCGCCTTGGAAGCTCGGGACGCGGATCTCCACCCTAGGCGATGCTTAAGAAAACCTAAGTTTTCGTCCAGAGTCTCGATTATTCTTAATTTTTCAAAGTAAATCCCAAGATTTTGATAGGAGTTCTGGGTTTGTAATCAGATTATGAGACGATGAATTTCTTAACCCATGATTTCTTAAGCATTTCGCAGGGTGTACAGTTTTGAGCAAGGGATCGTGGCCTGGGGATCGCAGATTCCATATTTCTGTTACGAGGGATCGTGGCTTGCGGAGGGGGGGCGGTGCACGCAGATAACGCTAGTTGGGGGCGGGGGGCCTCATCAGAATACAGGTACCCTACCAGGAAGCCCTTGGCATTCTTCCACGCCTCAGCGTGCACAAGGCACGGTGGCGGGCAACAGCAAACTGAACTCCATGCACAGCAGCTTGCACAGCGTCTGGCAGCTTTCCGAGCTGATGTTGCCGAAGGTGGGCAAGATCTACCCCATGAAGCCCATCGTCATCGACACTGTCAAGGACGTCATGGCGATGGCGACCAACGAGGTCGCAGGCCTTGCTGAGGCCAGAGAGCCCCGCAAAAGGCCACGAAGATTTGCGTGTATATATCTGTATATATATATATTATGTATCCATGGCGCGCCGCAGGCGCCGCCTAGCGAGGAGAGGGGTTCAGCGGACATTCGAAAGTGATTTCGGTGGTTCAAAGATGGGGTCCTGAGGGATGGGATTGAAGGATAGGAAGGGATCCAAGATTGGGTTTACGTTGTTTGAGGCACATCGTCCTTGGGATCCCATCCCTTAGGATCCCATCTTTGACCCGTCGGCTACTGCTATCCAGCCCTCCTGTGTTGTTGGTCCACGTGTTCTCTTGTTGCTTTCTCATGCTGCTCCCTCCCCTTCTTCCTGCTGGTGCACAGTGACGTTCTGGACACTGGTCACGCAGATCGTGCCCCATGGGGGCCACCAGTTGTGGCTCCAGCGGGTTGGTTCGCACATGCCCCACAGTCAGCCCCACAAGAGGCCCCAGTGGGAAGGTTCGCACATGCACTCCTTGCCCCTTTCAGCACACCCCTAACACAGTTCGGGCTCACGCTCTTGTGTATACACAAGCGGCACGTGCATTCCTAGGTTCATGCAAAACGAATGTCCATCACGTACGCATAGCATAAGATGTGCAAGAAGAGAAATAGGAAGTCGGATCCGAGAAGGAGGAAGATGAAGGCGAGGAAGAAGCAGCGGGAAACGCAGAGAATTATGATACTGAGGATGCCCAGGGGGTCGTTGGGAATCAGGAGCCACAGCGGGATCGCAGTCGAATGCAGGTGGGGTTGTACCTTGCTATGTGTGTGACCGAGGAGGCGATCCCACACCCTACGGTAGCAAATGGAAAGACGTTCCGAAGCCAGTTGACGCCTCGAGCGAGACTCTCGTTTGTAAGAATACGAGGACAACTTTGAAAGCGTCGGGTTTCAATGTTGGGCGAATGTCTCACGTAAAGCTGCAGCGTTTCTAAGAGCGACGTCCAAAATCGTTGAAAGCTGTTTGTGTTTTTGATAATGGATGCTGGACTGTTGAAAATACACTGTTCTCTTGGACTGTAAGGTCGCGATCTGCGAGAAGAGCGCGTCGGATCTTATAAATAGGTAGGAGGTCCTGGGCGAGCCATCCAGCAACAAAGCATGCCACGGCTTAAATAATTCGTCTCTGAGCTTTACCCCCTCGTGGATATGCGTGTGAAATTACATATACCTACACAGCATCTCGCATGTACACATATACGTGTGTCGATACATATGTCTATATATGTATATGTATGTACGTGTATGCCGGCGTAAACACATGTAAATATATATATATACATATATATATATATGCAGGGGGAGTGCGAGAGAGAGAGAGAGACAGAACGACAGAGAGAGAGAGGGTGAGCGAGCACCACCTGAGGTCACATTGGGAGGGTCCACATGTACACCGCGGCCTGTTTGGGCAGATCCCTCGCGCTGATTGTGCCCCATCGGGGGCCCTCCGGGGGCGCGCAGTTGTACGAGGAGAGCCACTCCTTGCGCCACTCGCAGCTGCTTAGGGTTGGGCCCGTCGCCAGGCCAACGTTTGCTTCTCCAGAGGCCGCGGACGAAATCGTGACCAACGTCGGCCCAGTCATCGCCGAGCGCATGCAGTGCACCTGGAGCGCCGCGCTCCCGCGCTCGTCCGTGGGCTGGGCCGCTCTGCTGGCGGCGCTCGCTGGGTACCTCTTCGCCTAGGCCTGAGGCAGACGGGCTGTTCCTTCTGCTCCTGCTCCTTGCTCCGACCTCCCAATTCAGGCAACCATGCACCACCAGCACCCCTGGCCGTCGCCGCCCTGGCCCCCCCACAGGCTGTCAGACCCATCCGTCTCGAACAAGATGCCTTTCAGGGTATGGTGCACCCCAGCGCCTAGGACGGCCCTGGCCAGGGATGGCGGGGTGTGCAGCCGCCATGGCAGACTTCCGTTTCTTTCTCCTTCCGTTTGCCAGCCCCGACGCTTTTTGCGCCATTTGACGGGATCGATGGTGTTTGCATTTGATGTCAGAGTACAGTCAAAACAATTCTGACTCCCGCATGCGTCGTCGATCGAGCCTGTGTATTCTGTGTGCGTGAGGGTGCACACGAAGGCTCGAGCCGAGACAAGCAACGACGGGGGAGAGAGAGAGAGAGAGGATGGATTGAATCTTGGTGCCTTTCTGGCCGCCTTCCATGCTATCAAGTTCAAGTTCTTTCTTGACACGGGCGATGTCGTTGCCTCACATGCTTTGGACGCGAAATGTTAGAATGGATGGTTTTATGATGCTTGGCATCGGTTGGGCGTGTGCATTTGTTTAGCGAGGCCACCGCAAGCAAATCTGGACAATCTTGGAGCATCTTGGGAACAATCAAACGCGCATAACCAAACACGGCACGGGAAATGAACGTCCGAGCGATGGCAAGTTTGGCGACGGCGCCTTCGGTGAACCAATAAGTGCCCTCGGTGAGCTATCGAGATTTGGCGCAGGGATGGCATCAGATTCGCTCGAGAGGGAAAGCCTACTTCTCGCATTGTTTAGTTTGGCGGTGGCTTTGCGAACAACTGTCCCACCGAACAAACTGAGCGACATATAAGACAGTAAGATGCTGTTTTTCGAGCGGCTGTCCGTTTGCGAGCGCCTGTCGGTCTCCGTCTCTGACCCCATCTTGTGTCTGGGCTCTTGTTTGTGGACCTCTGCACTTGTCCGCATCTGTTTGCGGCCGTTAGGGTCCACATCCTCCGAATTCTTGGAGCGCCCGAGATCGGAGTCCCTCAAACGACGTCATAACCACACCGAGTGGTGAGTCAGTCGGGAGTCGGGATTACCACGCGGTTTGCGGAATCGGGCCGTTCTCCGAGGACGTCTCGGACGAACAGGGCCTCCGAGGTCCCAAGACCGTGCGGTGACGAACCGCTCGGTGAGGTCTTTGGGGGTTCCGAGGTCACCAAGCGGTCCGTTACCACACGGTCTTGGGGTCTTTGACAAGAGCGCCTTAGAATTCGGGGGTTTCTTACTCTGGGTCCTTTACTCAAGCCCCGAAGCGTTCCCCGGCTGCCCCGACCGCGTCTTGGACCCAGGCCGCCGCTGACAAAAACATGTTGGCCATTTGGCCCCGAACCGAATAGCGATTGCAGTATTCAATGAAGAGTTCGGATTGACCCGAGGGCACCTCGCTTCGTGCCCCGTAGCGGTGGCGGTTGCAGGTATGGCATCGGGGGTCATGTTCTTTTTGTCTCGGGCTATCCTGCCTGACCCTGCCACCTACTGCTTGCCGACTCGTTATGACGCCAGCCTCGCGGGCGGGTGTTCTAGGTGGTGTCGAACTGAGGCCACCCTTCAGCCAGCGTCAAACAGCTCAGCGGTCGATATGCATTCCGACTGAGTTCACGATCATTCCGCAATGCAGCGGGCCGCATCCCAGCTTTGCGAAGGAGGCTAAAGGCGTCAACCGGATGAGCCCGTGCTGGATTCATCGGCAGGCGGGCTCCATGTCGATGTTCAGTGCTTGCAGGTTGCGTGCCCTGCTATTGTCTGCCTCTGACTGGGAAGAGTTCGTACCGCCCCATCTCCCCCTCCACCTCCGCCATCCCCGTCCGCACCTCCGTCCCATTTCGGTCTCTCTCCCTCTCTCTCGTTCTCTCTTTTTCCCCCCCTCTCCCTCTCTCTCTCTCTCTCTCTCTCTGTCGTTTGCCTGCCCTCCCTTCCCCTCTCTCTCTCTCTCTCTCTTTCTCTTTCTCTCTCTCTTATCTCTCTCTCTCTCTCTTTCTCTTTCTCTATCTCTCTCTCTCTCTCTCTCTCTCTCTCTCTCTCTATATATATATATATATCTATATATTATCTCTCTCTCTCTTTCTCAATCTCTCTCTCTCTCTCTTTCTCCCTCTCCTTGTCACCCCGTGTCTTCCGTCTCTCTCACTTTCTGTCTCTGCTTGTCCCTTTATCTCTCTCTCTCTCTCTCTCTCTCCCTCTCTCTATCCCTCTCTTTATTTTGCTCGTTCTCTGTATTTATCTTGCTTCTCTCTCTCTCTCTCTCTCTCTATTCCTCTCTCTCTCTCTCTCTCTCTCTCCCTGTCTCTCTTTTCTCTATCTCAATATCTGTCTCTCCCGCCCTCTCTCTCTCTCTCTCTCTCTCTCTATATATATGTGTGTATAGAGATAGATCCGTTTCTCTCTCTCTCTCTCTCTCTCTCTCTCTCTCTCCCCCCCCCCCTTTCTCTCTCGCTGTCTTTTCCCTCTGTCTCGGTCTGTTGTGTTCTCTTGCTCGTTGCCCCTCGCCCCCTCTGTCTCTCCCTCTCTCTCTCTCTCTCTCTCTCTCTCTTCTTTGCAAGCGGCAGTGCGCCTCATGCGTATTCCATCACTTTCGTTTTCGCAGTGGCTGGTGGTTACTCATGCAACTGGCAGCCCGGAGTATCAGACGGCAGGCCAACGAAAGTTGAACACCATGAGATGCTGTGAGTCCTTTCGGCATGGCGCCTCTGACCTCAACGTCCACATGGTCACAATTTGATCGGCACTTGTCGGCGTGGTTTCAGCGCACATGATAGAGCGCTTTCTACCGCTACTGGCGCCCCCGTCTGGTGGATCGCGCTCCCTCATATGTTATGGTGCGCGTTGGCCGCAATCTGGTCTGAGCAACGGCGCCACACGTTTCAAATGGTTTGCATTATGTTGGGTCTATCGCCGAGTGGGTACCCTTCAGCAGTCTGGAACTTCTGAAAGAATGCAATTTGGGCATCTGACAACAACAAAAAAAACCTTGTTTGGGACCCAGTCCCTTTCACATTCCCTTCATCCCCGCTCACCCCCCCTGTCGGGTCCACCTCCGATCTCCCCGCGTCCCTCCGACCCGCCCAGCTTGCCAAGCTCG